AAAAAAAAAAAAAAAAGTTTCTTTCATACACAACATTTACCTATTTTTTGTGTTTGTGTGTGCGCTTTTTTTTCTGTGCGATAAATTTGAAGCAAAGTACACGCTACTTCAAGTTCAATGATTAAAGAGATCAATAAGTGGTTCAATTTTCATCGTCAGATCTGATTTTAAGTAAGAACTGATTTCATGGAACAAAACAGAAAGCGGAGGCTCAACTGGCCTACGAGCTTCAAGCGGCGAAGATAAGGCAACGGATACGAAACGAGGAGATTCAAATAGAGGTTGTGGAGAGGCGCAAGCAGATCGAGGTTGAGGAACAGGAAATCCGTCGGAAGGAACACGAGCTTCAAAGCACCGTCAGATTACCCGCGGAAGCTGAACATTATAAAATCGGCAGAGTGGCCGAAGGGAAAAGGTAACTTTACGCTTTCATTCACGAACAATATCATTAGATTATATATATACGTATATTATATTGTGTATATTATATTATAAATATTATATATAAACATATTATATATATTATATTATATTATATATAAATTATATTATATTACTACTATATTATATTATATTATATATAAATTATATTATATTATATTTTATTATATTTATTATAAAAAATGGTACGTCTTAGATGTTTTATATTGGGCCATATGCAAAACTTTAGAAACGCATAGAAATTCCAACAATAAATATTTGTGTATTAAACCGATCGATTTACCGGTTCCTAGGACGCAGACGGTGAACGCGGCCATAGCTGAAGCTGAGAAGATTCGATTGATCGGCGGTGCTGAGGCACAGGCTCTACAAGCGGTTGGAGTGTCAGAAGCTGAACACATGCGGATGAAGGCCGCCGTCTACAAGAAATACGGCGAGGCTGCTATTCTCAATATCGCTCTGAACGCTCTGCCAAAGGTGAGGGATCCTCCACTTCACAGACACAGTAAACGCTGCAATTATCGGCGACTAAAATAACAATACATAGCTGACAGTGAGAGATGTGCAAACAAACACAGTGCAATAAAGAAGAAGATCTAACGTCGACAGTAATTGATATAGATCAGAAAATACAGTAATAAAATAAAATAAAATAAAATACAGAGATATGCTCTGACACAGTATTGATTGACAGCCATTCTAAACAATTCAATGTAGAGAATATAAAGAAATGTAGATATACATCTATATATCTTTCTCTGTATAGAGAATATAAAGATATATTTAA